AATATTAATTAAGTCTTAATGGGTATGATTTCAACTTCAACTGACAACAAAACAATGGCTCAAGGAGTTTCCTGACTGGTTTACTTAATGATACGAAAATACTACATTTTGTAAGTTCTGTGTACTTCACAAAATTAATAAAAGATCGGTTGCGTACTGGCAGTGCAGGACAAAAATCCACAGCTAATTTGAGGTATAGCCTCTAAAAACTCAAAGCAGCATCACAGATGTGTTACATAGCCTCTTTCATGGGTGAGAACACACACTGGGTATGTTCCCAATTCCAAACACTTGACACCTGCTTTCCTGGCTAAAAGCAAAATGCCAGGGCAAAAGCAGCAAATAGAAAAGTGTGGGAGGGAAAAGGACAACTTAAGTCTTAATGCACAGAGAGAAGAGCGTATGTTTAGCTCTAACAGTTCTCACTGAACTCGGGATATGTGCTTTCCCTACATATAAGGCCATAGTACTGTTACAAGAAGGCTAGAGTATCTGTCCACATGACTGACCACAAAGTACTGCCAACTGTAACCTCCTAGAGAAATGCACGGAGAGGTATTGGAGCAGAAGGTAACTGGGGTGAATCTGAAGGGCTTCGGTTTGGAATAGTAGGAATGATGGCTTTGTAGAGATTATTCTACTTTGAAAACATCCAAAGCATACCTGGAAGCTATCTTTTTGGTAATGATACTGAAGGAGAGACACTGTCAGAACTTTTAAGTAAAATTTGATCTGAATTATATCCTAAGACCTAAGTTTTATAAATATGTAGATGTATACATGCATATTTGTGTGTATAAATATACACATATACCTTTCTGTTAAAGTAATGCCTTTCAAAACTGTTTCACCATAACTTTAGTAGCTCTTTGGTAAATATCCATGAATACCAATTGTCAGCAGAATAAAAGGGCAGGCAATAATGTCAGCTACAAGATGTGTGGGCTTTTTGTGATTTTTTTTCAGACTGACAAGGAGTTTCTGAGTAAGGACTATTTTCTAAAGTAGTTGTAAGCACTTTTAAAAGTAGCTACAGCGGTCTCCTATTCGTCTGAAGAGAAAGACACCAAAACTCCAGTTAATGAGAAAGACTTTTTCCTTATTCCCAATATACACATACTCCAACTTTGTATACATTACACATCCTATAGTGGTATTTTATGAAGATATCAGTGCACTTAACAATTGCTTATTGCACATAATGAATAACTAATGCCCAATTTGTTTGGTTCTACCCTGCCAAAAATGAAAGCAACTAAACCAAAACAACAAAAATTTCTTTTCTATCATATAACATTATCTTTCTGTAAAGTCTAGTGTGGGAGATGCCTTAGAGCTCAAGGTCGTGCAAGGATCTGCTGGCGATGAGCTAGTGCTGGCTGGAGGCACAGGGACAGGAGGTGGAGGCGGTCGTCTGGACGGCAACACGCAGAAAGAAACATTTGTACCTTTACTCCAGGCATCATCAAATGAAGCTGGCAGATTACCCTGGAAGTCTGCATGTACTAATTTTGACTTTCCTTTGACAGAAAAGTCATCTTCCTCAAAGGTTACCCATCCTTTTGGGTTGCTTGTTTTTACTGTAGACTGGCCCTGCAGATCAAAATTATCCTCAAAACCATCGAGTGAATGTGAAGGTTTGCTTGTGTTGTGACCAAGAGGCATGAGAGGAGGGAAAGGACTGTTAATAACAGGCTCATCTTTGGAGAACCAAGCAGTTGCCTCTGATTCTTGAGACTGGGCTCTAAACGGGTTTCCAGGAGCAGCAGTCCTGTCTGTAAAAGGATTTGTGCTGGCCACGCTAGAAAGAAATGGATTTGGAGAACTCCTCATACTTTCCTGTGACTTGCTTCGGGCTGGAATTGGAGGTATGGTTGGCATGCAACTTACAGAACTCAAAGCATTAGCATTACTTTGTGTTGAGGAAGGCAACTGAATCAGCCTCCTTGGGTCTAGGGTTGGAACAGGTGGCGTCTGAACAGAGAGCTGAGCTTTCGATACAGTGAGCTGACTGAACGAGAGGTCTTCAAACGGGTCACTCTTGAATGGTGGTTCTTGTTTGACACCAGAGACTCCATTTGTCTTTAGCTAGAAAAGAATGAGCACAGCAGACAATCTGTTCGTATTTATTCATACTCCTTTTTCTTCCTATATAATTATTTATTCCTTCTTCAGCAACTATACAAATTTAGAAACTAAAAAGTAATTGTGTAAATTGTTACTCTAGTAGTTTATAATAAGTAGGATAAAATAGCTAAAATCTTGTTCTTTATGAATTACTAACTAAATTAACTCTTTTATTAAATCCATGTTTTTTAAAATCTCAAAGAAACTTTATGGAACTTATTTTTTTCATGCAGTTTTTGAAATGGTAAGAAAGAATTATACAAAATGGCAAGTTTGTTTATGTCCAGTTCTTTAAAATTTTAATACAACTTAAGAATCTCATGTGCTGAGTTTTTGCTAAATCTGTAAACTTCCAACACTCATCTACAAAGATATATTTTAATTGTTCTTTTAAATATATATTCATTTAAAGATACTATGAAATTCAATTTTGTTAACAAAAACTAATTTTATTAATACTAATTACTACTAATATAATTAATATTAACATTTATATTCATAAGCTATAGATAGAATTTTTTCCTTTTCTATTTGGAAAAGTAAATTTTCAAAGGGTTTAATGGAAGTTTGCCTTCATAGAATAAACTCTGTGAATAATGTGACAACTTCTTTAATTGACCTTTCTCATCTTGTTAAGCACTATAGTGAACACAGTGATAAATGTGTTGGAGGGACACATCCCATTTTCTATGGTAGTGATTCTAAAAATTCTAAACTCGCAAAGAAGCTGTGCTCTGAGTGGCACTGCTGTGAACTGAGCTCTTAGGAGGAGTTCCAGAATAACTTTGTGGCTATACAAAGTTTTCATTGTTTCCTAAATCCCTTTGTTCATCAAGAAGCTTGTTGGGGTGGAGCTCAGCCATGAGACTGTAGAGGGCCTTGTTTTCCAATCAGACTTGAAATTATGGTGACAGCCATACCACCATCCACCACATTAAAATTAATTTGTAATCTAAGCAGGATTTGGAAATTTGTGACATTAAAATTAGTGAAAGAGAATGGTGTTGGAAGAACCTTTAAATAATATTATTATTAGTTTTCATCTGAATCATCAATTCTCCCTTACAAAAAGAATCTTGCTGCTAAAACTATCTGAGAAAATACTTCTCCCTTCAAAATTAGAACAAAATATTGAATTTTGTGTTTATGTAATTATGTCGTTGTTAAAACCAAGAATGAATTTGGTTTTGCCAAATAGGCTTTCATAGACCTAATGCTTGCCTTTTTGAAGTTATACTTTTTAGTTTTGTTAATTTTCATAAAAAATAAAGCAAAAAATGGTAAAGCATTAGCAAGAACTAAATGATTCCTAAAAATCCAAAATATTAAGAAAAAAGAAAAAGCAGGTTTGAGTTTATGGTATGAAAAAATTTATTAATGTGAACAAGTGGTTTTAAAAATGGGTGGGACTTTAGATGTATGAAGCAAAAGACTCATACATCTAAATGTGCTAGGAAGACAGATGAAATGCACATGTAAGATTGATAAAGAGTCCAATACCTGTTACCCTGATGGTTGCTCCTGCTTTGAGAAAGGGAACACAGACATCAAAGGAAAGAGTTAGGAGGACAATCTGAGACCAACTAGCAACCTTAACAATTTAGTTATTGAAATACTTTTAGCTCTCTATGACATATGGAACCCAAGAGCAGCAGGACTTGCAGGTGGTTAAGACAATTCTGATTTTTTTTTTCAATTTTGTTGAACTATGATACAAACTTTAATTTAGTCTAAGGTTACTTACTATCCAGTTCATCTGGTAACTAACCAGTTCAAACTTTTTTGTTCCAAGGTTTTCAGAACTCTAAAGTATTTAAGTACCCAGTCCCCTAAGGGTATTCTTACTAGAGAAAATGTACAAAACAGCATCATTTTATAGAAGTACTACCCCATTAAAATTAATATTCATCTTAACAAAATGGTCAAGGTCCAGGCTTGCTGTACTGTCATTAATTCACATTATTTAGTAGTTGTAAGGTACAACAAGGCAAACAATAATTTTTGCTGTTTAAAATAGAAATCATAATCTTTCTATAATTTGGCAGTATTAAAAAAAACACTGTATTTTCAGGACACTTGATGTGAACTGTCTAATACTATTTGTAAAAGTAAAATTTATAAATAGTAAAACAAAATTTGGCAATTTAGAGATACCATTCCTAAATATATTACATATCTCAGAGTTTCTTGCTTACATTGCCCACCCCTACTCCATGCTAGGGATGAACCCAGGGGTGTGTGTATGCTTGGTAAGCGCTTTGCCACTGAGCTACAACCCTAACCCTTAATATGATGCACTTGAATGTTGCCACTGTCTGGATGACATTGAAGGCATGGTATCATGACTCCTGGCACAGCAGAGGAGGGCAGGAAACAGGGTTACATTAGAAGGTATAGGGCTGCTGTAATCCTATTAAATGGTCTTTAAATGCAGAGACTTTTACTGGTCCTTGCTCACTGTCGGCTTTCACATCTGTCTGGCAGTGTAAGTTCTGTTACTGTATTTCCTGTGTTAGTTCCTTACATCTAGATTTTAGCTCATAATCAGATGACTAAGATGCTGGGAGTCAGATAAATGAGCCATTTTTATGCTTGTAAAGGATATAATACATATTATAGAACTGTTCAAAGTAAAAGAATTTCTTCTATGTAGAATTAGAGAGCCAAAGAATCGTAAGCAACATAAAGTAAAGCTGGATCATACCGATATGTACGTTTTAGGCACCGTTGTATATTTGGGATAGGAATAATAAAGACTTTTGAAAATGACTACAAGTTCAATTCTGAAACAATTTCATACCATTCTCAAAAGAGTAAATCTGTCATATTTAAAAATTTCATCAGTGTTTTATAATATATATGAAAATCTTGTTATTCAACTTATAGCTGCTTAAGAGAATGTCTAAAATTTGTATTATTAGTAGCATTTCTCTTATGGCTCAAAATTCCAAAGGGAGAGAGATGTGTCCTTTTCCTGTCCCTCTGGGCCCCTAGCACTTGTATGTTCCCTGGAGGAAACCATCATCACTCTGTGATCCTTGACAAAGACAGTCTACACATAAACAAGGAGGAGGACCTCCATCCTCCAGAAAGGAAAATTGTTTATACATCTTTGGATGAATTAGGTATCAATGACTCAGGCAAAAGAAAATTAGAATTTAAAGCAAACATCTGTCATTTTTGGTGACCTGACTGTATAATGAGATTCAGAACATGGGGCTAGGAAGAGCTCTGTTAATAAAGTGCAAACATGAGGACCTGAGTTTAATTCCCAGTACCCATGTGTGGGAAGCGAGCACAGCTGAGTCAGCCAGATGGCACCCTGGCTGGCTGCCAAACCTCGTGCTGTTTACTCCAACTCTTGGCTGATTGCCAAGGCTCGTGATTCCCGCTTGCTTACTCCAAAGTATGGAGAGGCCAAACAGGTGCTGCCAGCCTGGTGATCTTGCTACATGCCTATGAGCTACACTCTGCCTGGCCGCTGCACGTGTGTGAGCCCTGATTGATACCGGCTGGGGGGAGGGCTGTTGGAAACGCTATATAAAGAGCTGAAGTGTGTTATAGGCAGGACACAGCATCATAAGGACACAGCATCATAAGGAACCAGCATCATAGAGAGCCAGCATCATAGTGAAGAGAATACGAGAGAATAAAGGAGAAAGAGAAACAGAAGCTTGAACCTCACCTTGGTGTCTGTGTCGTCTTTCCGGGACTCTGCTTGCAGAGTCCTGGCTCGCGACACCCATGTAAAAAACTGGGCATGGTGTGTGCACTTGTAATCTCAGCACTGGGGAGGGAAAGATAGGTGGATCCCTGGAGTTCAATGGCCAGCCAGCCTAGGTCCCAGTGAGAGACTGTCTCAAAAATCAAGGTTGATGGCTCCTGAGAAACAACATCTCAGGACGACTTCTGACCTCTAAATGTGCACAATACACCCCCCCATACATGAATATGAATGAATACACACATGCACACGTTCACACACAGAGATTCCAGAATAGTGCCTATGATGCCACATACAAAGAATATGCTGTTGGTCACTAAATCTTACCAAGCTCACTTCAGTGAGAAAGAGGAAAAATGATCTGAGACCTGACGTCTGGCACTCATCTGCATGTCCCTACTGGAGTACCATGTCAGGATGCTTATAACTAAGCTGAAATCTTCCTGAGCAATTTGCTCCTCCTATAGTTTTTCAGAGTAGAGCACTGTATCTGCTTTCACACTGGTCTATGGATATTTAAAACCATTACAAAATAGGTGGTATTAAGGTACACTTCTCTGAAACGGATACCTTAAAACACTAATTGATAGCTCAACTTGGCTGCTTTGGCACCTTGCTAGAACCCTGACCCTTAACATGAATCACTTGAACGTTGCCATGGTCTGGATGACTTTGAAATCATGGGTATCAGCTGACACAGCACAGGAGGGCCAGAACAGGCTTACATTAGAAGGTATAGGGCTACTGTAACCTATATGAAATGGACCTTAAATGTAGACTTTCACTAGTCTCATTCACTTACGTAAAAACAAAAAAAAAAAACAAAAAAAAACCTAGTAGTCATTACAAGAAATAAAAATATTCATAATTAGAAGTTAGTGGAAGAAGAAAAAGAATAGAGGATATTTATTCTTGGAAGGATTTCTGTTAAAAATATTTAGCCTCTCAGTTTAAAAAATAGAGAGTACCTTTTTGCTTTCATCAGTTGAGAACACTTTTTTTTTTCCTACTGCAAAACCTTCTTTAGCTTTCACAAATGTAACCAACACCCTAATGAGTGCCAGCTGCTAACAACAGTCAAATTGTTTTAGGAATGATTTTTACATTAGTATCTGCTTTTCAACATAAATATGTTAGAAATGGTCTGCTGACTAGCTGGACATACCTCCGCATCTGCAAAACGAATTATTATAGCATATATTCAAAGGATACTCCTAATACATAGTATTTCTGCATTTCACAGGAGACCTCTAAAACGTCACACATTTCTTTGGCTTTAATGGCATTTTCAAGTGAAGGATTTCTATACGAGACAGCAAATGTACTTATTAAATCAGATTTTAACAACTTTTACTTACATGTAAGCAACAAAACTAAAATAGCATCAAAATAAAAACCAATTTAATTTATACATAATTATCCCCATGCAAAAGAATTTGCTAATATACCAGCAGTGCTTTGAGTAAGAGAGCAGGAATGTCCGTGACTTCAACATGTCAAGGCCACGGCACTAGTTTCTGTGAGACACTAATGAGAGGATGTGGTATTTTGTGGGGTTTGCCTGAGGGAAAGAATCTTCTGCTCCAAGCCCAAACCTTCTGAACTGTTTGTTCCCATGATGACTATACCCTCATGAAGCCTGGTGCCAGCCTAACTCAGAAAAGCAGTTCTGCTCGTAGGAAATTAACCATCATGCCGCCTAAAGACTGAACTAGATTTGCCTCTCTCTGAAACTAATTTATTACTGTTAGCAATAAGAAACTAAATTATTGTTGCTCATTTCATTAGTCAACTTCCTAAAGCAAACTATGCATAAAAAATGACAAACTAATATGAAAAACCACTTGGAAATCTGCTCCAGTGTCAGCTTTTGAGAGTTTTTTGTTATGTTTTTGAGACAGGCTCTAATGTGTAGGCTTAGCTGGCCTGGAACTCATATGTAGACCAGGCTGCCCCTGAACTTGTGGTCTTCCTGCTACTGTCTCCTAAGTGTTGGGATTACAGGTATGAGCCACCATGCCTGGCTGCTCTCTGAGGATTTTTGATCTAAGTAACACATATAAACAAAAACATTTTAAAATCTCAAATAGTCAATATCATGTGATTAGTTTGAGGTGTCAGATGATGTTTATTTTTTAATATTTTATTTTTTTATTTTATGTGTATGAGTGTATTGCCTTCAAGTATGTAAGTGCACCATGTCGTGCAATGCCAGTGAAGGTCAAAAGAGGGCATTAGATCACCTGAAACGAGTTATGGATGGTTGTTAGCCACCATGTGGGTGCTGGGAACCAAACCCAGGTCCTTTGCAAGAACAGCCAGTGCTCTTAACCACTGAGCCACCTCTCTGGCCCTTGATATTCACTTATTAAAATTGTACCTCAAGAGGCTACTAATACCAAGTAGCAAAAATAAAAAGAAAATTTAAGGTCATATTTATTTCTTATAAAAGCTAGTAATAAAACAAGTGTGTTCTAAATCTACACAGCATATGCATCATACACACTGATAGTAGTGACACTTACCTGCAGCTGTGACGAAGATTCTGAAGGCAAGCTATGAGATGACTTGCTCCGAGGTGGGGGCTGTGGTGGGGTTTCCAAATTTGGCTGGGGGCTGGATTGAGGCATAGGTGCTGCCATGGGGACAAGGGGCTCCTGCAACTTTTGAGCAGGTGAAGGCAGTGAAGGCTGCAGAGGAAAGGCAGCCTGAGGCTTCAGTGGTTCTGGAAGAACAGCTGAACCTAAAACACCAATGATTGTCACAGGTTAGCTGTGCTCTGGAAAACCATAGCTTTTCTTTAGCGAAACATTTGGAGGCATTCTAGTTGTCTTTCTATTCCTCTAACAAACAGCCTTGTTTCTAGTGTATAAGAAAGAAGATCCCTATTTCAATGTACCGGGTTTTATGAAAGGTGGGAAATGACAAAAGGGAAAAAAGAAAAAGAAAGCAAGAGGAAAAATATAGACCAGAACTGCATCTCCTACAGTGCCTACCTTTCGATGCCTCTGGGGCTTTGCTTTGGCTTTCAGGAGTCAGCCTTCCAGCAGATGCTCGGGCCTGGCTCTGTGGGGCACTGATCACTCCAGCACGAGGTGGAATTGTCTATAACGGGAAACACACTAGCAACCATTGATTTATTTTCAAAAGTAAGACCCTGTGAACACATCTGCTTTTGTATCACAGTTTTCTTCTGGGGCCACTCCCCATCTTGCCGTTTTAATTGCTCTATATGCAGCTAAACAGTGATACATTCTAAAATCTTCCTTTTTCTTTCTGGCAGTTTGCTGTGTGCCAGGCACTAGTAAGCACAATATAGGTCTCTAAATTTAACCGTCAAAATACCTCCCAGATATTATTCTATCATCCATATTTTAAATTAGGGTAAAAATGCATACATCTTGGTTGACAGCATACAGAAAACAGAGCTATAATCTAAATTACCATGGAGGGCTAGGGTTCCTCACTGCGTGCAATGCTGCCTTCATGATGAAGTAAAACATTTTCAAAGTACAAAGCTGATGGGGAGGTAACTCTTACATACTAAGAGGCTTCAGAATAACCCCCTCCCTAGAATTATTTATTATTCAATGTGTATGAGAATTTTCCCTGCATGTATGTAAGTGTATCACAAGCATGCAGTGCCTGTGGAGGCCAGAAGAGGGAATTACGATTGCAGACAGTTATAAGCCATCATGTGGGTGCTAGGAACTGAACTCAAATTTTGTGCAAAAGCAGCTAGTGCTCTTAACCATTGAAACATCTGTCCGGCCCCCTGCTTTTCTATTTTTAATATCTTCAGAACCAGTTTTAGTATACTATTATACTCTTATGCCAATTAAAATTCTTCTTAATTGAAGGATAACTTTTATTTCCATTAATGACAGATAACATGGTAAACAGCTACTCAAACATTACCTCTTCACATTCTCAGACACTAAGATGTTTATTTAGTGACCATAACTAAGAACATTACTTTTACCGAAACAAGTTTGCTCAGCTATTTTGGAGGATCATGTTAGAATGTTAGAGTGAATAGTACCTTGGAGGTTTTCAATTGCCTTATTTTAAAGTTGAGGAACTCAACTTTTGCAGGTTCTCATTTCTCAAAGTAACAAATAGATTAGTTGCAAACTGGAACCTAGAACAAACACCTCTTATCTCCCAGGCTAGGTGTTACCTACCGGTCTGACTGCATATCCAGCAGGTCCTGGGGCTGCAGGTCCTGCCTGAGGAGAAGGCTGATTGCGTCCTGGAACAAAAACATCACATTTGTATTTAAGAAAGAACATGAAAAAGAATGAGTAAAAAGAAACAAGAAACCATTTACTTAGATTCCAAGTGACTATTTCATGGTCCAGGTTTAAGGGGAAGTAACTACATTCAAGTGTTTTTACCTAGATTATCTTTCCGTGTTGTTCCAGGGCTTTTGGGTGCTTTGAAGCAGGAAGGAAAAAAAATTAGTCATAAGTAAACAATAAAATAACAACAAATAATAGCAACTGGTTGTTCTGTTTTATTATCAGCAGAAACAAGGGGCACAAAACAAGCATTTAGCTTTGGGTAAAAATGAAAACTTGGATTAGAGAGACCTCATAGGAGAAAAGTGTAGTTCTTAGTCTGATGCCTCACTCATAAAGTCATGCTAAGGTGCGAGTCTTCTCAGACTTCTGTCCATAAACCTTGAAAACATGGTCCTTAGCCCCTTACAGCTAGGGAAACAAAGGGCTCCTGAGCCCCAGGCAGGACTGCATTTTTCAAGTTACATAAAAAGCTGTGTTAGGGCTTTACCTTACAGGCCTTACTGTGGATAAAGTTATCTTATGATGAGATCTTTTGGATTTCTGTAATAGATAGACTACTAGGATCAAGACAGAAGACAGGGAGGAACATGCTTATATACAGTGTTAAAATGTGGTTCAAACTCATTACTAAGGTAGATTAAGGATGACGTGAAAATTACTCTTGGGAACAGAAGGAGCAGAAGGGACTACCAAGCCCATAGTTTTAATGGTCTTTTAAGCAAATCTAACCTATTGCTAAAATAGTTACAAACTTTCTTAATCAAAAATCAGCCATCTACAAAATGCTATATTCTTTTTCAAATTTTATTATTTTTATTTTATGTGTATGCATGTATTGCCTGCATGTAAGTAAGTATACCCATGTTGTGCAATGGCCATGGAGGTCAGAAGCAGTTGTCAGAGCCCTTGGGACTGGAGTTATGGACAGCTGTTAGCTGTCATGTGGGTGCTGGGATTTGAACCTGGGTCTTCTGTAAGAACAACCAGTGTTCTTAACTGCTGAGCCATCTCTCCAGCCCCAAAATGCTATATTCTTGAACCTTACTCATACATACTAATTTATAAAGTTTTAGGTTAGTCAAGGACATTTATAAAACATGTGTGATGGTTTGAATGATAATGTCCCCCATAGGCTCCAAGTATTTGGACACTCTGTCCCCAGATGGTGGTGCTGTTTTGGGAGGTTTTAGAAGGTGTGGCTATCCTGGAGGAAGCACGTCACTGGGAATGGGCTTAGAAAGTTCTTAAGCTTTGCCAGATCACCAGTTGCTCTCTTGTTTCCTGTGCCTGCTGGAAGATGTAGAGCTTAGCTTCCGCTCCTCTTCTCCAGCCACCTCTGCCACCATGCCTCCCCACCAAGACGGACTGTAATTCCCCTGGAACCGTAAGCTTAAATAAATTCTTCCTTCTATAAATTGCTTGGGTCAGTGTTTCTATCACAGCAACAGAAAAGTGACTAATACAACATGTGACTTGTTCAGGAAAAAAACAACTAAAGGCATTCTTTTTTAAACAGTAATTTCACAACCTATATACGAACAGAGTGTGAACAACACAATCTCAGGATTAAATGGATAGCCATTAGAAACCATACATAGAACACAGAACAAAAGGAGAAAAAAAGTACAAGGTCTATGTATAAGGAGGAAAGTTCACTATGGGAAGACAGTATGCCTTTAAACACTGAGGGACTGATGTTCAGAAAGGAAACAAGAACTGTATCTATAATGCAAAAATCTTGTTACCTTCCATCTCCTTCCTAGCTACCCCAGGACTGGGAGGGGCTCCAATACCTTTTTAGAAAAAGAACAAAAACTACATATTGTTCAGAGCCCATGGCACAAGATGAAAGGCAGGCACACAATCAGAAGGGCAATAAAAACTGCTTTAAAGCTCTTGGAAGATATCAGTAACAAAGTTCAGTTTGTTCAAAGATATCAATTAACTTCAGATGCTGAGCCCAAACTCGAGTCTTTCGTTTCCTCAAATCTAAGACAGAAACAGGATAACAACATCCTTTTCATATCTGAGATTACTAGCAGTAGGTAATAAAAAATATGTTCAGTACAAATCTCTGTTTTATGATAATCTCAATCCTTATAGGTAAATTAATACAAACTCCATTATTTGAGAGTAAAAAAGGAAAAAAAATCATAAATGAAGTTTAAATTTATCTTAAATATTTATGAGTCACCATTAGTCTCTTAGAAGTTAGTTTTTGATGCATTAAAAAACAAACAAAAAGTAGTACAATGATTTTCTCTGCGGTTACTGTCTTAAAGGGTTACTGGTTATGGAGTAAAATAGACTGTAAATAGTGCCTACAAAAGAATTTTGAAAAGAAGCATTTTTTAAAACAGAAACAGACTACTAAATAAGCTACTGGACTGCAAATATGATACCACTTTTCACAATTTTATTTTAAAATTTATTTTCTACAAACTGGTTTCCTAGTTAAAGCAGAAAGAAGCAGAATTTATCATAAAAAAGCACTTTTTGAAATGAGAAAAATTAATGTTTTCTGCAGGTCAATGGAAAAATTACCACCTAGCAGGACTTTATGGAAGCTATATTGTCCAAATAATTCCCTATTACAAAGTCATCAAAATCTATACATCTATATATAGGGAGTATTAGCCTGCCATAACTGATAACTGACCCTGAACCTCAACTGATCAACATGATTCGGTAGCTAGAAGAGAAACAAATCAACTATGAACAGCGAGGGGAACTCAGTAATATTAATGCTGGCTTGCTCAAGCTTGTTTAAAGAATTGTGACAACTTCCTTTTTTCTTGAAATTTACGTTACATGCATTCATTAAAAACAAAACAAAACAAAACAAAACCCCCACAAAACCCCTTCACACTGAGCGGTCATTTTTCACCTTTCCTCCCTCCCAGTACTGGGGATTGAATCCATGGTTTTGCATGTGTCAGGTAAGAACACTTCCACTGAGGTACATCCCCAGTCCTACTTTGGTTTTCATGCCAAACAAATTACTTTAAACAATCCACTTGTGAATAAAAATTTCTTCATTGAAAAGAAGAAAAGCATAGTTTTTATAAAAACAAATGAGGCAAGAGTTTGTTAACTTACATAAAGTATAAGTGGAAGATATATTCCACATAATTATTTTAAGTTTAAGGTGATTCTAAAATTTTTTTCCACTAGAAGAAGAATGTACTAGACTGAGCACCACTAATGAAACACTTCGGAAATGTTCTGTATCCATGGAACCCAAATCCCTTTGGCAATAACTTGATTGTTGGTAATTAATTCTTTATAATCCAATCAACTATATTTTTCAAGACAAGTATTTAGATCTTGTTGAGTAATTGCATTATGTCTACCTTGGAAGTGGAAATCCTCATTAATTCTATTCACAGATAAAAGTAAGCTCCAATCTCTTAACAGGAATATAGAAGTTTGGAGCATTTAAACTTGGAATATAAATATGTCACTCATTTTGATGCTTACCAAACACACCTACACTATGAGTTACAGGGTTCAAGGCCTAAAACAGTCCAGCATTCATGTATGATAGCAAATGTAAATGGTTACCTCCAAGTTCTTTTCTAGCAGGTGCAGGACTCCTAGCCCCTTATAGTTCATAAGAAATAGGCAGCAGAAAGGAAATGACATTAAATAGTTGAAATGTCAAGGTGTGTTATCGTAGTCATGATGGTAATATCACATAAGGATTAGTTAAGTACCTAGATGCTATAAAAGGCATGCATATGCTCATAAGAATTGAACACAGTACTTATTTAAAAGAGCATTTAAATAAATACATAAAATTTATATTAAAACACATGCTTCTTAGTCCTAATCATAAATTTTACCGAATTAGTAATTTTAATGGTCTTTATAAAGCTACAAATGAGGATTTAAAAAGATTAAACCCAGCTTTTCCTAAGAACATTATACATGGCTAACTACATCAAAGTACTAAACAAGTATCTCTTATAACTAATAAAAAAGGCAGCTCTGAAAATATGCTGGAGAAATCTACTTGACGAACTTATCTTGTTGCTCTTATAGTGTTCGTTTGCGAAAAGCTGAAGAAGTAGAAATGATAATAAATAAATCCTAGACACTAGCTATAAGAAAACATGCAAAATATTTTATTTATTTATTTATTTATTTATTTATTTATTTATTTATTTATTTATTTATTTATCTTTTTTGAGACAGGGTCTCCCTGTAGCCCCAGCTGGCATGGAACTTACTTGGTAGACCAGGCTGGCCTTGAACTCAGTGATTCACCTGCCTCTGCCTCCTGAGTGCTAGGATTAAAGGCGCGCACCACCACACCTGGCTTGCAAAATATTTTTAAATGAAGGAGAATTTTAAGTTAGCAGACATCCTAGGAGTAACTGGGTACCTGAAGGTGGAGGTGGTCTCTGTGGTGGAGCAGGACGTGCAGGAGGAGCAACTGGGCGGGGAGGGGGTGGCCTCTTGGGCTCTAAGGTCTGGGAAGAATCTTTCTGAGTTGCTGGCTGAGTGTCAACAGGAGAACCTAAAAAGGTGAGTAGGTAAAAATATCAGGTATCAGCTTTGTGCTAGGTCAAAGGAATGTACATACATAATAAATAATGTTCTATTTTGCTCATTAAAAATTGTTGTACACTAGAGAAATGGCACATTTTCACTATGAATAGAAACAATCTACCACTAAACTACCTTTTGGACCAAGGCTCTAATGATGCTGCTTCTATGTTGACTTCTTACTTAGGCTGAGGTGTTGAAGGTTAACTTACTGAGTGGTACTATCAAGAAGGCATAAAGTATTGTTTAAGTCATATACAATCTGCCAGCCAGAGGAGATGAGAAAAAGCCCAAATAGCTATGTATACTTATATAACAGAAAGCCATCAATTTTAAGACACAGACAATTCTAAACACACAGAAACAGGATTCTATCTAGTGGCAGCAATGGTGAACTTCTGATCTACTAAGAGCTATCATCTGCAAATTTTCCTCTTTTGTGTTAATGGCACAAGGGCTAAAAAAGCTAAACAATGGTTTTCCAAAGATCTAACAAACTAGCTAGACAAAGTCACACAAAAATTTCAAGTAAAACCCACACATACCCTGTGAACTTGGAGGCCCTGGAGTTCTTGATGGTGCTCGGCTGGGTCTGATGGGAAGAGAAGGTACAGGACCCTCTGGTACTGTAGGTGATTGGCAGGGACTAGTCCGGGGTGAAGAGCTTGGAGAAGTGCCAAGGCCAGAACTAGAGGATGGCTGCAGATGCTGAGGAAGAAGCTCCTCTACTTCAGCATTATAGTCATCAACATCACCTAAGGAGAAGCAAGGTTACCAAAGATACAACCATCTTCACTTTACATGAGGTTTTACAGGGCTAAAACATACAAATTAAACATTAGGACACTGCCAACACACATGGAACAAGCATATAGACATGTAAAAATATTTTAGCTATAAAATTATAGTATAGATGCTCTTATAGAAAATGTAAGATGTCTACAACTTCAGATGCACCTGCATTTGGAGTTGGGTTGACTAGCTAGCGCAGTGTTAGTGGACTCAGAGGCTGACTGCTTGCCCGCCAAGCTTGTTCACTTGTGTTCTGCAGAACTGCCTCTACTCTCATTGTCCTGCATAATAGTAAACAAGCTCTTGGGCAGCCACATGCCCTTTTCTAGAACTCTCCCATTTTAAGCTTTCTACCCCACACAGACCCTCTTTGCTTTAATTGAACAGTTTCTTCCATGAGATCTCATCTCTACTTACCTCAGGGCTGGGTCAGGGATTCCAACCTAGAACACTGACTTTCCATCCCTAAACAACAAGTTCTATTTTTTAAGGCTATGTCACCATGAATTTATGCCATACTCTCTATCCTGCCTACTTCAGGAATCTTTAACGTCCATCCTTCCAATAACCACAACTAAGGACTGTAAGGGCTAAGCAGAAAGCACAACAGTGAGCGGTCCTACCACTTTTCTGCATACATCAAAGCCCTTGTGGACAACATATTCAACAATCTGAATGCCCTAGTCCCATCCTTCCTGACAGGACTGCCTCCCCCCTATTGACAACACAATGTCAAATTGTACTTACTCCCTGAGAAAACTAACCTGTAGATTCTAACCTGGAACACTTCATTCTAATCACTTTCTCTCAATCCTTCAGTTCTTTCTTTTTTTTGACTTCACCAAGATCTGGGGCTTGCTCCCTCTCATTTTAACCCCATCTAATGTGGCATTTTCTGTGCCTAGCTTGGGGTACTACGGTTCATCACTCAACCATTCCCATTTCATAATTTACAATTCATAATTCTCCTATTGCTTGTGCTTGACAAACACCCTACCATGTACTATTAAATCTCTCTGTAAATGCACTTGGCCAGCTGAATGACACTGCTTGAAGAAAACCACATAATCCTGATGGTCAGGTATAAAATGTCTGTAGTTGCCACTTTCTTTTGGGCTTCTAAAGATGGCAACAAATTCTATGGTTTCCTGATTGGTTATTCCCCTCATTCCTTCTCTTCAGAAGCTTTATCTCAACAGTTTTTCAAGTCTCCCAAAATTGTAGGTTGCCCCATTCCTGCGAAAAACATGAATATTCAAACATTACAGTCAAGAGAATTTTCAGATGGGGCTCCTTCCCCAACAACCTGCTTGCAAACTGAAGTCTCACCACATGGTTGACACTCAGGTATTAATAGAGAAATGAATAAGGTCCACCAACAACTCCTTTTTCAGTGACCCTGCTGCTAGTCTGCCCTACCCTTCTCCAACATCAGCCTTCTCCTTTCTAGCAAGACTTTTTCATCAGCATGAAGCATTCTCAGACTTCTATCATTTAAATTATTTATTTTTATTTTATGTGTATGAGTATTTTGCCTGCATGTATATATCTGTGTGTACAATGCCCAAGGACACCAGAAGAGGGTGTGGACCCTCTAGAACTGGAGTTACCCATAGTTGTTAGTTGCCATATAGGTACTGGGAATGGAACCTAGGTCCTCTGCAAGAGCAGTCAATGCTCTTAATCACTGAGCCATCTCTCCAGCCTGACCTCTGCCATTTAAAAGGAACTATTCTGCATTCCCAATCTTTCTGGGTAACTATCCTTTTCTCTCTTCCCTCAGTCTTAGCCAAGCCTCCCAAAGACTTGTCTAAAGACACTCTCTTCACTTCTTCGCTTTCTACCCAGAACAATTTTCATTACCTGGCTTCATCCCAGCATCAAAATTACTTTATAGGAGGTCACCAACACCTTTCCATCCTGTTCATAAATCAGGTAAGTTTCTGTCCTCATTTTTCCTTCTGTCTCTGAAGTATAAGACATCATGGACCACTCCTTCCTAGTTACACTTTCTTCCCTTGATTTTTTTAAAAACATAAATTTTCCTAGGCTCTTTGACATTTCTAGTTATTTCCTGTCATTTTCTCTCTATGGGCAGGGCAGCCATTCTCTGCTTATCCTTGAATTCTCTTTCTCTAAATTAATTTCTGTCTCTCCTATCTCTACTTAATTCTAATGGTCAGAGAAATCAATGCCTATGGTTGGAGCTACCATTAGAACCACTCCGTGAGTTCGGAACTCTCTCTGAGCTCCAGTTCTACATACTTAAGAGCTGACAACTGAACCAGTGGAACCAACCACAGACACTGCAAATCTAAGATCTTCAGAAAAAACTCCATCTTCCATCCTGTAACAGTTCCTGCTCTTGTCTTTTTTCTTCATTTACTCTTTCCCAAACATACCTGTATCATTCTGATTTCCTTTTTCCTTACCTTAGGCCTCCCACAAGTGTGTTCTCCCTAAGCCACTCCTTTCTACATTCTCTGATCCAATTATATATTCAAATTCTCAATTTAAATTTCAATTCTCCTGGGAAACCTTGCCCAAGTCTACAGATCTACTACATCAGGGAACTTTCCATGAGCTATAAATCACCATCCACTTTCACACTAATGTCCTTTAATATGATTTCCTGCATACTTGTGTAAAACACCCAGTAAACTGTGAGTTCTAGAAGGAACCCACAAGGATCATAGTCATTGAATTTCTAACACCTAGCAGGTACCTCTGTGGTGGCTGGTTTTGACTGTCTATTTGATGGAATTAAGACATACCTAGTAGATCAGTGACGCTCACCTCAGGATGTGTTTATGAGACACAGAGAGGACTAGGCTGTGAGGGCTCTAATATAATGAATGGGTAATCCTGGATAGACTCAATGATACAATGGCATTACTGGAGGTGATAAAACATAGGAGGGCCTGCAGCCTGAGCAGCTCCATTCTCTCCCCACACTCAGTCCCACCCTCCCTTTCTAGCCTTGGGCCCAGGCCTGCTCCTGCTCTTTCTGCCCCAGATCTCTGGACTACCCTCTTAGTCCAGACTTACCCACTGCATTCTGAACTGCATCAAATCAGCTCAATTTTCCAACTTAGTTTGTTAGACCCATCCCACAGGCTGTCCCCAGCCCCACTTTGCCCCTGGCCTCCTGATCTACCTGCCACAGACCAGCCTACTACCTTGACAAGTATACTGTACACCACTCATCAAAGAAGTCTCTTTCTGGAAGAGATGGAGATGCTCAGCTCTATGAGATACATCTATAGTGAAACCTCTACACCTAAGGCTCATGGAACATAGTAGAACAGGGGGTTGAAAAAATACTAATACATCCCTCAACTCTCACCAGTGAAGTTTCCTCATACAACAAAGTGCAATGTACACAGAAGGCCACAAGCGGCTAAGGTTTAGAGAATAAGACACTGTGGAGTCTATGTCCCTGGACAGGACTCCTATGTTAAACCTCACCTACCCATGGCTCAGAGACTATTGGGGAAGAATGGGTGGAAAGCTTGTAAAAGCCAGGGATGGTACATGAGCATAAGGGCACAGAGACTTTCAGGCCACTGGGAACTTGTTCACATGAACTTTGAACAATGGTGATGGCTTGCACAAGACCCATGCCGACTCAATCAGACAAAAACCCAGCACAGAATGAGGGAAATGGACAGCAGGCCCCAACCCTAGCTCAAGAACTATCGGCAACTGAATACTGCTGGGTAGGGAGAGTAGATCGTCTTTAAGGAGAGATTCTAGATAGGCTGACTAGACTCCAGTGGAAGAACTTGCACCAAGGGACACCTGGGTACAAATGCTTGACCAGACGAGACAACATATATGAGAAACTGCATGAAATTGGGGGGTGCTACGGGAGAGTGCGGATGGAGGATGGGGTCTAAATTTGATTAAGATTTATTATATGAAATGCACAAAAACTCAAAACTATTTTTAAAAAGCAAAAAATAAACAACCCCTCCCCCCAAAACACAGGAGGCATGACCTCACTGGAGGAACAAGGTCTTAAGAAGCTTGTCCTTGGGGCTGGCCTCCTCTTGTATGCCCTTTTATCTCTGCTTCTTCTGGGCTAGCAAGTGAAGACCAGCTTCTACCACATATTCTACCCAAGTGCATGGGGGCAAGAGACCAGAGACTGAACCTCTGAAATCATAAGCTGCCTCCTTATGATGTTTCTGCCATGTATTTGGTCACAGCTACAAAAGGAACTAATACAATCAGGACATTAGGAAGGCACATATACATGTGTGGACCAAGGACATGACCATGGAATGTAGAAACTAGTGATGATCTTAAAGGCCATTTAACTCTGAATGTGTTCTCTAGCTGTACAGGGTAAGGTATGTATTTCTGAGGTATAGGGGATTGAACCCAGGGTCTTATACAAGCTTAAGCATTTATTCTACCACAGCTCTTCCCTAAGGTAGGCATTTTAGTGGACAAATATACTCATATAATATAGCAAATAGCACTAGAAAGCAAACGCATTTTCAAATCATGTTACAATATCCAGACAATTTGTCCTAAATTCTAAGCTTTAAATGGCTACCTTTAAATGTATAGGTTCAGGGCTGGAGAGATGACTCAAAGGTTAGGAGCACTGGCTGCTCTTGCAGAGGATCCAGGTTCAAATCCCAGCACCCACGTGTGGCTAACAGCCGTCTGTAACTTCAGTTCCAAGGGATTTGACGCCCTCTCTGACCTCTGCAGGCATTGCATGATACAGGTGCACTTACATACATGTAGGCAATACACTCATAAACATAAAATAATAAAAATAATAAAAAACTTAAATGTAAAGGTTCAGTTTCAAATGAATGTGTTCCTAGACACTTTGTTTCTTTCTAAATTCCTTTGAAACACATCCCTCTTTGCAGTAACTACTATGAACTCATTTCTGCTGTTAGAAGAATCACTTGAAACTTCTACTTAACTGTAATTATTAGCACAAACTGACACACCAAAAATACTAACATGTACTTATACAACATAAAACTAACATTTCAAATGTTTTACAATTTTTTGGCAGAATAGCATATAAATTACAAAATCTAAGTCTAAGCAAAATAAACACAACACAATATAAAACAAATCCTAATTAACACTGTGTTCAAGAAGGAGAAAGATAAACCTAGATACTAAGACTTCAGTGATGGGTAGGAAACTTGAACACTGGAGAATAAATGTGTTCAACAAACAAACCTTCCATGTCGAAATCTGCTGCAACCTCTGCATCTTCACCAAGCAGGGTAGAGCTTGTTGATGAAGGCAGTGTAACATTAATTTTCTCTAAACTCATTTCTTCTTCCAAATTTTTAATCCAGTCTGGACTTTTTAAAGTAATAGTTATAGTCCGATTTAGTAACTATTTGATTAAAAAAAAAGGTATAGAATAAACATTCATTAATATGAAAACTATATTGGGTGGGAAAAAGGTACCTTGTTATATTATGTAATGGTGTAAACAGTTTAATTAGCTTCTAGACAAAATAAATTATTCCACATGCACTAAAATTTTAACATGTACAGGTTGTTCACCATTCTGCCTTTAAAAGCTTATGGCATGGGGTTTGGACAGATGGTTCAGTGGTTAGGAGCACTGACTGCTCTTGAAGAGGACCCAGGTTTAGTTTAGTGCCCAGCTCCCACATGGTTGCTAACAAACATCTGTAACTCATTCCAGGGGATCTGATGCCCTCTTCTGGCTTCTGCAGACACTTCACATGTGGTACACTGAATATACAGGCAGAAAAAACTCAAACATGTAAAAAGAAAATGAATGAATTTTAAAGTTTATGATGCTAAATGAAGGTCTTTTAGAGTCCTTTACTGCAGTACCTTTTCCTGGCCAACTATAAACTAACTTGCTACATAATTCTGATCCATAGGTTAAATAACTGTTCCTATATTGAAACAACTACAAAAGAGAAAGAAAATCTTTAAAACATACTTCCTGCTTACTTGAGCTTCCTAACTTGGCATAGTGGCTATTCTACTGTAAGCTGTTTTATGTTAACCTACAGTTTTAGCATTTCAAATGTCACAAGAATATTATGAGAACTGAAGAGTATTCTAAATCTTCTACAAAAATTAATCATTCTGAAAACAGACTGACTGCTACTTGTAAAGCAGGCACTCTGCCTTTTTTATAAATTTAAATGAATTTTAGATCAAAGTATGACTTAAACCACCAACATTACAATCAGGTTATACTCTGTTTTTGTTGCTATATTTAAAAAAATTTTTTTTAACTTGCTGATGGGCATAAGATTCCTTAGTCAAGGACATGTGGATGATGTTTAAGAAAACAGCTCTCACTTAAAATTCATAGCCGTACAACAAACTGGCTTTCTAAGTTCCAAGTTCTTTGGTACATAGTTTCAACTTCCTTCTGTTTGTAGAGTTTCTTAATGCGAACAAGACTAAACTTTTTTAGTACTTATAAATGACCTGTGTAGCTACGGTCAATATACTGTGGTGGTGGGGGTACAGATTCTAGCTCAAAGTGCTATTGATATTAGAATTCCTTTAAGGCACAGAGGTGGAAAGCTGTTACCTCATCAGCACGGCTATGTTTAAAAGTGATTAAGCTTTGAAGCCACAGTCTTTAGAGTTAATAATCCTTCACTTTTTTCTAAGACCTAAATATTAAAACAAATTCAATTTTATAATTTACCCACAGATTTTATAGATCATTTGTTATTTTGTCTGTTTTTAATTTAAAAAATGTTATTTTATGTACATAAGTGTTTTGCCTGCATGTATGTAAGCACACCACGGGTGAAATGCCTATGAAGTCCAGAAGAGGGTGGTCAGAACCCCTGGAGCTGGAGTTATGGATGGTTGTTAGCCTCCACGTAGGTATTGGGAACCAAACCAGGGTCCTTTGCAAGAGCAGCTAGTGCTCTTAACTGCTGAATCAGCTCTCCAGCTTTTTTTTTTTTTTTTTTTTTAAAGACTCTCCCACTAGGCCGCACAGCCTGGCCTGCAGGCTGCTTTTTAGCAGAGTCTGGTTTTTTTTTTTTTTTCAGCTTTTTTTTTTTTTTTTTTTTTAAAGAGCATCTCACTAGGCAGTTCAGCCTGGCCTAGAACTCATGGTGATCCTCCTGCCTTAGTCTCCCAGATGCTAAGATTACAAGTGTGTGTCACTACACCCAACTTCTTCAGATTCTTCTCTGAAATGGGAAAATTATTACTGATTCTGAAGAATTTAGGGTTGAAATAATGTTTCTAATAAAGGCAACAGGTTACAGGTTTGGAAATGTGCAACTTCCAAAGAGTCAACTAAATATTTTATTTCTTGTTTTTTCTGATTTCCTTTTGCATGAATATGTTAGCACTACATTCATGCAATCAAAACTCTGTAAAACCAATTTCAGAAACAATACACATATGCAAATATTTTTCTCCAAGGAAGCAAATATGACAAAAGAGTAAGCAAGCCTTAGAGTAAGTTCCTTAGGAAGAGCTGCTCACTCTCAGGAGAAATTGGGCTGAGAATGCAGTGTATAAACTGGCCACATACTTACTTTGAAAACAAAACAGATTCACAGAAGTTGACAGATGCAGCGCTTCACAGAAACAAAATTCCACTATAAACCCCTCTCCCCCCAATGGCATTTCAAATCACAGGCTAGGCATAGCTCCACTGGTTAAATTCTAAATGCCACCATGCAATAGATTTGCTATCTATGGAAGTCATTTTATCTATGCTCAAAAAAGGTAACTTGATACTACAAATCCTTGATAGCTTAAAAACAAGTTCCTAGGAATGATCAGTATTTCCTCTTCTTGTTTTCTTATAAATTTCTTCACTTGATAGAAATTTACTACATAGATAAGCCAGAATGTCTACCTTTAATTAAAAATTTAGAATGTTTTACATCAAAATATAATAGAAATCAAATTAGGTTGTATGCATGTTTTCTTTTTAGTTTCTATCAATGGTTAATATCTCTAAAGAGAGAATAAAGCAACCTAGTCCAGGTAGAAAACTAGTCTAAATAAAAATATTAAGCAGATCATAAAGTCTTCTATCTTCTTTAATTGAAAATATGTAGATATTCTTCCTGCATGCCTGTAAAAATATAATCTTCAGACAAATTCAAAGAGGTTTAGAATTAACAAATCTACCTTACCTCTTTACCATTTAGGCTCAGAGCATTCAAGGCAGAGCTTCCCTCCAAAAACGTAACCCACATTTTATCTTCTACGAATCTTTAAGAAAGAAAAAAGCAGTAAAAATAAGAACTGTAATTAACTCTTAGACACAACTATCTCAATCGCTAGTCAACTGATTACTACTCCAGAAAGAACAGGGCCCACAGAGACCAAGGCAACAGGGTGGCTGCAGGGCTGGTGGTTGACCAGGAGAGGGTGCTCTTCCCACACAGTGCTCCCAGTGTTTTTAATCCTTCTGCCAGGAGAAATGGTCTCATTCAAAGTGACCCTACATGAGAATAAGCTGCAGGCTAGGAGGCATGTCTCCTGACTCCACAGTCAGGCACTACCCATTTTTACTGCTGCTTTGACTTCTCTGAAGTCCATCTCCTTTGATTACAGAGTATCGTAAGGAGTGCCAAGGAGAAAGAAAAAACAAAAGAACCCAACTGGTCACGGGCAGCTTTAGGGTAGGGTGACAACTGCACATAAGACTTTCTCCCCGTCTCTGGGCTCTTCAATGATCTTTGTTATGATTCTAAGTTTATACTCTGAAACAAGAAACCTCCAAAAGGAAAAACAAAAAAAAAAAAGGACATTAGAACACATTTTGAAGCTAGTCAGTGATTACATAATGATGCTTTATGCACAAATGGATAAAACAATGTTTTCTATTTTATTTCCAGAAGTAATTCTACAAATTGAACTACCTCAACTGCATGAAGAAAACCTTTCTCTCTCATGCTAGGATTCAAAGCATGGATTATGGATATGAAGAGGAAAAGCCCAAAACAAAGTGTGCTAAACTACTTTACTGAAATCAAGAGCCTAGGATAATTTTCATAATCATTCAAACACGACCAAGGTAATCAATTTAGTTTCTCTGGCATAAAATTATTAAGTTACAAGTTTGCTGTCATTTGAAAAAATGTAAGAACATTCTTACCAAATGGTTGGCCAAGGAGGCTAACCCCTTCCAAAGAATACAATCCCCTGGTAAGGCTGGACTGAGGCTTTACCAGTGGACACAGCTCCAAATATTATTTGGTTTTTTTGGTAATTATACTATGATCCCAGCTATGCACTCCCAAAGCCCCCTCTTCTTTACTTTTGTTGTCTGCTTTCTCTCTATCGACTTGCTATCACTGGGGTTAACAGGCAGAATATAATGTATTGAAGACACGCCACGGTTCTATATTAAAGCCTATTATCAATACTTTTCCTAATGCTGTCAGCATTTTCGAGGAAAACTTTTAGCTTCATTCTGAGCTAGGAAGAAGCCAGTGGGTTAGACAGACACAATGCCCTTCTCCTTTACAAGTCTTTCTCCTTTATCCAATCTGGAGTCTTCCAACTCAACGTGGTATTTTACATCTGCTCTTGAAGCCACTTATCCACTACTTGTTGCCTACTCACATAGTCCACAGAGGCTCCCTGTCTGCATTTCTGTCTTTAGCAAAGCTTATTGCTTTCTATAAACCTGGGAGGTTTGACAGTGACTTTCTAGACCCTTAAGATTTTAGAAATCTTTTAAAAATTATTTACTGATTGCTTATTCCAGGCAGGATGCTATGGCTCGCTCACAGAGGTCAGAGGGGGACTTGGCAGTGGTGCTCTCTCCTTCCACCTTCACATGGGCTCCAGGGATCAAACTTAGTGTCCAGGCTTGAGAAGCAAGGGCATTTATCTTGTTCACAGCAATGTTTTAAGTTTTTTGTTTTGTTTTGAAGGTTTAAAGTGGACTGCTCTCAAAAGATTGGGGAGGGGGAGAAGAGAAATCAAAAGATCTGGGGTAAGTATATACACAATTTCCTCTCCATTTGCTCCTTTACTCCCTGAAAGGACCTGCTATGTATGGCTTGGGTTTGATTTTCACTCTATAGAAACCAAACCATACCAAACTAATTCTGTGGACTGGGTTGTTTAGAATCTGGGGAAGGCATTATGCAGATTTTTCCAACTAGATTATAAACACAAGTCATGTCTTTAAGTTCCTTGCTCTTCTACAGCATCAAGTACTGAGCTTTGTCCACTAAACATAAATGAAACCTACTTAAAGAAACAAATGAACAACTGATGAATTACACAGCACTTCTTTCCCAAGGAATCCAAGCACACATGGCATTCAACTTCACAGATTGGGGAACGTGTGAAAGAGGACACTTAAAGCAAGAGGCATCTAGTTCTACAAAAAGCAGGTGAAGCCATACCAAAGTGGATGACTCCTGACCACTCATCACATTGCTGATAGCTGGAAATGAAATGAATTTATACTTTAAATTACCTTAAACACCAAATTTCTTAAACACATGGAATGAAAAAATAAATCCCTCCAGGTTCCTTAATTGCTTATGAGTGTCTATGTAGTCCAACGTGGACACATGATCCTCCCGCCTCAGCCTCTTCAATCCTGGGGTCCTGGTGTACATCACCATACCTGTTTAACTTACTTTTCTTTTTGGTCTTTTTGAGACAGGGTCTCCCTGTAGCCCCAGCTAGCCTGGAATGTACTATGTAGACTAGGCTTGCCTCAAACTCAGAGTTCTGCCTGCCTCTGCTTCCTGAGTGCTGGGACTAAAGGCGTGTGCCACCAAGCCCAGCTCTGTTTAATTTACTTTTAACTTTCCTTAAAACCATAGCATTGTTCATTGATTCATTTTTTTTTAATTTATTATTTTTATTTTATGTGTATTTATGTATTTCCTGCAGGTAGGTAAGTGCACCCATGTCATGCAATGCTCGCGGAGGTCAGAAGAGGCTATCGGATCCCCTGGGACTGGAGTTACAGACAGTTGTTAGCTGTCAGGTGGGTGCTGGAATTCAAACCCAGGTCTTCTGCAAGAACAACCAGTGTTCTTAACCGTTGAGCCATCTCTCCAGCCTGATTCATTTTCATATAGGGCTTTGTTACATGCCCCCTTGTATAGGAATCTTGAAGTCATTCTTGAATTTGAACATTTTGTCTTCTACTGTTCATATACAAGTTTCATTATTCATTTGAAGCTTTCTAAGTAGAGAATTTAATTTCAAAAGCTATGAGCTCTTTGAACAACAATCCAAAATATGACTGTTCTTTAGTTTGGGAATGTAATTGTACACTATTTAATCACTAAGCTGAGTGATTTCTAATGTAGAAGCTATTGTTAATGAATGACGAGCTGTTTTACTCACCTTATGAGTATGACTTCACCAAAATGCGCAAACTGCTGCAGAAGCTCATCAATCAAAGCATCATCAAAAAAATTATTTTCTTGTGCAGAACTTTTGATTGAGACCAATACTGTGCCATCTGGTGGACCCTGGACTGCAATTACTTCTTTATAAATGTTCTGTCTCTCTTCAGCTTCAACTTCAAATATGTCTATATCAATCAGGGCAACAACAGGCCTTAAGGCATAAATGAAGATGTATTAGAAATGCTTCTTAAAGGATTTATTTCAAACAAGCTTTGAGCACGATAAGGAACATAGAGACTGTTTAAACCTGTGGTCAGAAGTCTTCAGCTCAGCTCTTCCATAGTGCAGCAGAGTGCCAGGAGTCCAGGTGTAGAGGATTTTGCTTTCATCTTGAAAACTAGCATTGAGAAGATCCAAATCTTCAGCTACAGTCAGAATAAAAGGAAACACAAGGGAAGTCCGTGAGTAGGACAGGCCACCTCAATACCTACTTCCCTTCCATACCTTCATCAGTTTGACGCTAGAATCCAGGGACACTTCAGATGCAAGAGGTCTAGACAGCTTTAAATTAGATATGATTTTGGTTTATTTTTTACTTGGGAAGATTAAGATGCTGATTTACTTCTAAGATTACTTAAGAGGCCTGGGACCAAACAATGTTTCATAAAAAATTCAACAGACAAGCAGTCATTCAAAATAAATACAAGCCACTTCAAGTCATTCAAAAATGTGAATTTCAGGTCTTCACCTGAAATTTCACAAAATAAGTTTCTTCTTTCATTTTACATGAAATTATGTCACTGAAAAAAAAGACATAAATTAGTATTTTAAAAATTGGTTTATATTTGTTTTATTCTGGATAACCATCATGTAATTATGGGTTCCAGTGAGGGCTATGGGAGGGTGCCGGTGGGGATGGGGGTATAACAATGATTAAGATTGAGATATTCTGTATAAAATATACAAAAATTCAATAAAAACAAAACCAAACCTATTTTTGCTTAATATTTGTATCATTACCTTTCCCTCATAAAAACCTCATTCATTTATTTAAATAAAGAAGCCCATTTCCAACCTGATCTATCAAAAGGCCACTTCCTCCTCCTCCAGAGGACTCGGTCTGTCCACGCAGGGGTGCGGCACTTCTCGCTGGTGTCATAGTCATCAGAAAACAAGTCATATTTATAGGTTGGAGCAAATGTTACTTTTCCCTCTAAAAATCCTCTAAAAATCTAAAATAAATACACACAAAGTATATTATTACAACAAATGAAATTTATGTTATTTTAAAAGATTAAAAATTTGAGAATTTTATACATGTATATAATTAAATATGATCATAACTACACCTTTCCCCCCAACATGACCCCCAACTTCATGTCTTTTATATTATTTTTCCGATAGTCCACTAAGTCCAGTGAGTGTTGCCCATATGTGCATGGGTGTGGGGCCACCAACTGGAGCATGAGCAACCTACCAATGACCACATCTTTAAATAACAATGATCTGGCTGGGTGTGGTAGCATAAGCCTTTAATCCCAGCACTTGGGAGGCAGAGGCAGGCAGATCTCTGAGTTCAAGGCCAGCCTGGTTTACATAGTGAGTTCCAGGACAGCTGGGGCTACAGGGAGGCCCTGTCTCAAAAAGACAAAAACAAAACAAAACAAAACAATGATTCTCCCTTCCCCAGCAACTGTCCAATGCCAATAGGTCCCTCATAAGGGGTGGGGCCTGGAGATCATCTACCCCCATCTATGTTGGTATTTTGGCTGGCTTGATCTTGTGTAGATCTTATGCAGATCACCACAGCTGCTGTGAGGTCATGACTGCAATAGTCATGTCATTTCTAGAAGATAGCATTGTACAGTACTCCTCCTTACATTCTTTCTGCCTCTTCAGATAGAGTCTAAGACTTGGTGGTAGAAGGGTTAATATGGATGCCTTAGGGCTGAGCACTCAGTCTCTTATTACACAGCACTTCAACTAGTTATGCATCGCTTCACTAAGTGCTATCTACTGTAAAAAGCGGCTTTTCTCTGACGAAGGTTGAGAGCAGCCCAGGTTTGTTGGTGCTAGGGGGTCAAGATTTAATTTACTCATATGTATGTATATGTGTGTATGTAAGGGGTGCCAAAAGAGGCCAGAAATGGACTTTGGATCCTTTGGAGCTGAAGTTACAAGTTTTTGTGAGCTGCCCAATGTGGGTGCTGGGATCCAAACTTTAGTCCTCTCACAGAGCAGTAAGTGCTCTTAACCACCAAGCCATTTCTCCAGCCCCATTTTTTAATTCCTATATGCTAGACAGTCTCAGACAAACTCTGCATCTATCTGATGAGCACTCCTAACAGAAATGAACAAAACTTAAACTACAAACTGAAGATAGGACCTTTTTCCTATCACTTGTATGACCTATTAATGATAAAAACATGAATAAAAATAATCTTCCTGATATGTGAGACATTTAGAATTATATGAAGTGCTGGGATCATAGGTCAGTAGTAGAGCACTTACCTTGCACACGAGCCCTAGGTTCAATCCCTAGTCCTACCTGCTTCCCACCCCCTCTCCCAGACCCCACACAAAATTAGTAGATCTACATGAGATTTTGGTAATCAGCTAGCATGACGTCATATTCTCAAATAATGAAGCTAATGTCCAAAAGGTTATGTGACCACTGAAGCACAAGAATTCAAGTCTGATGATCCCAGGCACTATGCCAGTGGTCTGCAATCACTTAACAGAGATTCCACATTATTACCATCCCCTATGACTACAGCCTTCTATTTCAAAGTACATCTTACAGATACATTAATAGATTTTTCTTCCTGAGACGAATTATGGATTTTCCTTTACTCTCATTTCCCCTTCTTCCTTTCTTATTTCTTTTCTCTCATTCTTTCAGGAAAAATGATTTTGCATGTTTATCTATAGGTATGTATTTAAGTATAAATAGCTTCCAAGAAATAGAAAAACTGATTAGTTTCATCAGTCAAATACCTCATTTAGAATTTTTATTATTTGTGTGTGTGTACTAATGTGTGGAGGTCAGAGTTCAATTTTGGGGAGTCAATTCTTGCCTTTCATCTTGTTGAGAGAGGCCCTGGAATTGAAGTGACAGGTAGTTGTGAGCTGCCTGATGTGGATCTGGGAACTGAACTGGGTTGTCTGCAAGCACAGCAAGTGCTCTTAATCTCTAAGTCATCTCTCCAGCCCTCCAAAAATCTCCTTCTTAACACAACTATTTTCTCAAGTATGCATTTACCTGTCCAGCATTTTTCTGATTGATAAGTTGATCTCCTGCTATAAGAGAATCCCAATTTTGCTGCCTTATGAGCTCTTTAACTTCTTCATTAGGGAGATCAATTCGATAGTTGAAATCACCACACCAAAATACATAGTCATGGGAAAACAGCATCCTTCCCTGGAGGCAATAATATGGAATTTGAAATTCAAATAGTGAATATTTAAAAATGTTTTACACACTTTTTTTTTTTGTTTCAGATGTGCCTGCTCCCCAGGCTCTTCCTTGAACCCAATAGTAATAACACAAAGTAGGTGAATACTGTTGATGTATCTAAGAGGTGCCTTAAATTTTCAAAAAGCTTAATGTAAAATTTGGGGTAAATTAAAGTACAATTCAAAGGTTTATCTTAAAGAATAAAGGGATGAAGCTTACCATGGGAAAACTCAACTTTCGTGCTATTTCTACAAAATCTTCATTTCTCTCTTTGACCTGTGACTGCCCTGCAGCAAAGTGGCTACAGACGAAGCAAAGGCTGGTGGTATGGAAGAGCATTCGAATTGCAACTGCTCCCTTATTTCCAGTTGCACCTCCCATCCCAGTCTTCACAGTATCAACTGCAACATCCCTTTAAAACAGAGAGTTCTAAGTGGAAGATAAGACATTTCAAGTGTTCCATGTGCACAGGAAATTGGCTCTATTTATTATCATCTGGTACTTTGAAGGCAACTCTGAAATACTGCAGTGCAACTATTAGTAAGTGTTAAATCAAAAACACAGTTTAAAGAACAATGGATAAACATTTCTCTGAAGCAAGAAACAATCTAGGACTTTTCTTATAATTTAATAGGAAGGAGCTACGGACAGTGCTGTGCTACTGACCTGATAAAAGGAGCATGCTGTGGTCTGATAAAAACAAACAGGCAGACGCCCACCAACTGCTCAGAGGCCAGCAGCACATACTTGTTGTCTCTGGAGATTGTCTTCTGAAGCTCCACTGCCCACAGCTTTTGATTTGTTGTGCTACCAAAAATATTAAAAAGGGACTCTTCAAGAAGATGCCATACTTTTATTCATAATTTCTTAAGATGCAGAAAATTTTTATGCAGGTTGTTTTTATTTGTTTTCTTTAAAGAGAAAAAACTTCCAGTTTAACCAAAATAACATGGCATTTAAAAATCTAAACTACAACCCCTCTACAAAGAAGGTATGAGGATGATGAAGCAGCTCAGCGGGTAAAGGCACCCAAGTCTGATAACCTGAGTTTGACCCCTGGGATACATGTGACTCCCCCAAGTTGTCCTCTGATCTCTATATTCCTACCACAGTACTTGTGTATCCTCACACCCATACAAAGACACACACAATAAATAAATTTAAACAACTAAAGAAATGTACAACAATCCCAACAAAGAAGATAGGAACTGAAATGCTAAATGATGGAAGGTGAAGGATGCTAAGCTTCACACTTAATTTTCAGTATCACTAAAGCCATGGAGAAGCAGGTACCTCCAGATAACATTGCTCCTCTCCCACTGTTCTTATTTTCTGGAATTAAAATTGTATTTATTTCCAATTTTTTAATGTAAGTATGTATGCCTGAGTGTACATCATATGTGTGTGGGTGCCTGCACAAGCCATTGGATCCCCTGGAGCTGGAGGTACTAGCAGTTGTGAGCCACTTATGTGGGTGTTGGCAACTGAACTCTGGTCCTTTGAAGAACAGCAAGGGCTCTTAAAATTAAAATTTTATTTTAGAGCCAGGAGTGATGGTGCACACCTTTAATCCCAACACTGAGAAGGCAGAGGCAGGTAGATTTCTGTGAGATCGAGGCCAGCCTGATCCACACATAGTGAGTTCCAGGCCAACTGAGGCTACAAGGAGACCCTGTCTAAAAAAAAAAAAAAAAAAAAAATCTATCTTAAAAATTATTATGGAAAATTTTAAATATACAATAGACAACTGTAAAAGAAATCACCACATACCCATTATCTAGCTTCAACTTCTCTCTCTCTCTCTCTCTCTCTCACACACACACACAGACCCTGGAATGTTGTACATTAAATCTAAGACACAAACCATCACTCATAATTAATTCTTTATATACCTTTAATGGGACACTTTTTATCAACTTAAACATTTTCTTAATATCATCTAATGCTCTATTAGTATTTAAATAGTCCTTATTTTCTTTTTTAAGAGTCTTTTTACAATTGATTTGTATACGGCCTACACAATACATTTATGGGTCACGTCTCTTAATCTCTCTTAGTCTTAATAGTTCCTTAACCCTCCTTTGTCACTTTGCTATTACAGTGCCATTTTAAAGAACAAGTGGGCCATCTGCTGTGAAATGCCCACAGTCTGCTTCTGGCTAATGTGTCCTCACAGTATCTTGACTTGGCCATCTACCATTCATATTTCCTTTAAAACAACTGGTATTGAAAACTTAAGAAACAAGTACAATTTTATTTATGTATTTATTTTGGCAAAAATAATGTCCTGTGTGGTGCTGTGCACTTTCCATTGAATCATAGCAAGCACTATCATCTCTACAGTAGGTCTAAGATACTCCTTGAGTTCCCCACAGCTGTTTTTAACAGTTATCAATAGAATCTACAGATGATCATTGTTCAGATCCATGACTTCACTGACAGTTGCAAAAGGTTCATTCTGTAATTTCAGCATAGGCAATTGTAACAAGCTGTAGTTCCTCAGAAAGAAGTATTATCAACTATTAAATAATTTTACAATGTAGTTCATGGAAGACAGACAGGATAAATGTTTAATTCTTTTCCTCTGTAAGCTTTCAAAGAAGTAGTTTGAATCCCAGAACCTTCAACTTCTCATTGTTCCAGGTCACACAAATATTAAGTGATAAGCAAGAAGAGGCCCTCATGGCCATCTGTCTAACATTATGTGCCACACTTCCTCCAAACACAACTCATGGCCAACCATGATCCTGCCCGTGCTTGGGTCTTATCATTTTCTTCAAGTCACTCAAGTCATCTTCACAATGCACCCTACCCTACTTCCAAGCCCTCCCCACCTCTACACCAAAATCCCTCTTACTGTTACCTATTTTCCACAGCACATTTCAAACATGCCCTATAATATTATGTTACTCTCACTGTCTGTGTCTTCTCACTAGAAGACAAAGTCCATGAAGGCAAGGGTTTTGTCCTTTTTAAATTCACTCAGATATATTGTTAGCATCTAGAGTAGTGTGATCAATAGATACTGGTTAAATAAATGAATGATAAAAAATTATCACTTTATTAAAGAAAATGTTGATTAAATTCTGTTTAGGAAAACAATAAATCAATTTCTTTGGTACAAGGAACTATTTTAAAATCTGAACATATAGTCTCAGGAAATATACACAAACAGCAAAATAGAGTCATATTTAAGAAAATTGTCATTTGCAAGACTGATAACTATACAATAACATTTCACTCCATAATACGCTTCTGAAAAATCTTTTTAAGTATTATAAAAGATGAGCAGCTGCTCACCTTTAAAAGCAAGCAAACATTTGAAAAACAGGACACCTAAGCTTGAAGTTTACTCATCTAGTTTGTGTTTATAATATGGCTTCATATTAGCAGTGCTCAAAGTAAGGTCTAGAGAATTCTCAAACCAACATCTGCTTTTTTCCTTGTATTGACTAACACCTGCACTGATGGTATAAACAGTGCTGCATGAAAGTACTGACAATGTCATCCAAGTTAAGGCACCAAAATGTCCTGTAAGTCAATATACCCCTTGCTATTCTGTACCTACAGTACAAAACAAACAAACAAACACTTCATTTTCCTTCAGAGAGTCTTTGAGGAAATAGAGATTTGATCTAATGTTGTACTGTGTTCTTCAAGTATCATTTATACCTGTATTTTCTACTGTAACGCTGTTTAAGGCCTTCTACAATCATTAGTTCACTTAATTCCATGAATAAAGCTTCATACGTAAACAGCTTTTGAGGGATGATTTGGTTAAACTGTTATAAAAATTCTGCTTGAGGGCTGGAGAGAGAGCTCAGCGGTTAACAGCACTGGCTGTACTTGCAGAAGACCCAGGTTCGAATCTCAGCACTCACAAGGTGGCTAACAACTGTTCATAACTCCAGTTCCAGGGATCTGACACCCTCTTCTGACCTCCGTGAGTACTGTACAACACAGGTGCACTTACATATATGCAGGCAATACATTCATACACATAAAATAAAAAAATAATAAATTAAAAAAATTCCATTTGTAAATTAAACTAAAAATAGCTAAAGTCTAAGGACTGGAGAGGGTGGCTCAGCAGTTAAGAGCACTGGCTGCTCTTCCAGAGGACCCAGGTTCAGATCCCAGTACTCAGATGGCAGCTAACAACCATCTGTAACTACAGTTCCAGGGGATGCCTGTTGTGGGACCCTGCTGTTAGGGTTGTAGTCCTCCATGTCTGGATAGCTCTAAGGGGCTTGGAACTTTATGGAAGGACTCCAATTTCTCAGCAGGGGCCTCCTGCTCTCTGCCTGACTTACCTGGAAAGTGCCACCAAGCACAGATGCCTGACCTTATTTGGAACATGACCTTTGGCATAGTTACCTGGAGTAAAAACTACCCCAGGTTTTTTCTATATAATAATTAGGCATTGCCCCATAGTTGGATGATAGGATCCCGCCACCACATGTAAATAAAGCATACTATGAGCACCTATCAGCTGAAGCATTGGCTGCTGCCTCCACACTATATTTTCCCTAATCCCCACTGAAGAAACGGAGCTGTTTCACTGAATCTGGAGCTGTATCACTAAATCTGCCTCCCCAGAGGGCTTTCTTCTGTCAGTGCTCACTGGCCGTCCTGACCCCATTCCTCGCTTCTGCTCCCTTTGTCCTTGTAGACTGATGGCCAACGTCCCATGAGGGGAGGGAGAGACCCCTCAGATGCCCTCTTCTGACCTCTGGGGGCATGTGGTGAATTTACATACAATTAGGCAAAACACTCATACACATAAAAATTTTAAATATATAAATTTTTAAAAATATCCAGAGTCTGAAAAGAAAAGAATGTATTTGGGGCAGCAGTAAATATTATTAATCTTATTAAGCTCCAATTTCAAGCCACGTCTTTTCAATATTCTTCATGATGAATATTCTGCATATACTTCTGTTAAATACAAAGTATGAGTACCACAAGGAAAAACATCTAACACTTTGGGTTGTAAGCTAACTGCCACTTTTTCATAGTTCACAGTTTTCCTTAAAAGAATGAATGACGGGCTGGAGCGATGGCTCAGCAGTTAAGAACACTGACTGTTCTTGCAGAGGACCTGGGTTTGAATCCAGCACCCACATGGCAGCTAACAACTATCCATAACTCCAGTTCCAAGGGATCCAACAGCCTCTTCTGTCCTCCACAGCATTGCACGACATGGGTGCACTCACCTACATACAGGCAATACATGCATACACAAAAGATAAAAATAATAAATAAAATATAAAGAAGAATTAATGACTGACTGTGGTCATTCAGAATTAAGTTATTTGGCAGAAATATTTTCAACCAGTCCTGGTTTTTCTCAAGGAAAATAACCAAGCATATTTGTTTCTAATGATAAAACTTGAAGGATAGGGGATATAAGCTCAGTTAGTAGAATATGAAGCCCTGGCATCAATCATCATCACTGCATAAAACTGGATGTTGTTCGTATACTTGCAAAAAACACTTGGGAAGTTGGAGGCAGGAAGATCAGAAATTTAAGGTCATATTCAACTGTATAGCCAATATGAGGTCAGACTGTTTAAACAAACAAAACCCACAATCAAAAACAAAAAGAATACAACTTGAATTTTCTTTATTTTTAATATTTATTTGGTGGTGTGGGAAGGGGGAGGGGAGATGTAGCAGAGTATGTTTGTGGAAAACAGAGGAAAACTTGTGGGAATCGGTTCTTTACTTCTACCATGTGAACTTCAGTGGTCAAATTCAGGTCTTCAAGATTGGAGGCAAGGGCCCTTACTTGCTGAGCTATTTTGCTGGTCCAAAACTTAAATTTTCAAGCAGAAGTTAGAATTCTGTAAAACTTGTATTATCTATTGTGACCTCTGCAGCCTCCCACATTTAAAGATTTTGATGAACTAAGCAATGATCATACCAACCAAACAATGCATTCATAATGAGTAAGATGTGTCAAAATCTGGACATTCTACACAACTCAGTGAGCTTTTCTAAATGACAATACGCAAAACTATAAAATGATGCCAAGGAAAAGACCAATGAATTTTAGAATAATTAGTGCACAGAAGGCTCACTATCAAGGTTTCAGATTCCATTTTCAACAAACATTTAAGAGATACTACCATTTCTGGAGTTTTGGTATCATATTTAATTATCAGACGAGAAATTTTCTGGAAAAGTTATTACTTCTTTTCCAACTACGTACTTCTGTGATTTTACTTCATATACTTCACCCAAAATAACACACTGTAGCTCAGTGACACGAAAATGCATGAAGTAGACATAAGAATCCAGCTGTCTTCACTCAGTAAGGCATTTTGTAAAACCATAAAACAATGCCATTCTTCTCACTAAATTTATTTTGGAAATGTTAACTGTGTACTGGGTTCACTATTGCTATTTTATTTATTTTTTAAAGTTGTTACTCAGGTCGTCAGGCTTGAGGGCAAACACCTTTATTCTCTGAGCCATCTTGCTAGCCCCTATTGTTATTTTCAAATAGACATAAATTTTCAGTTTTAATTTCTAATATAACTTTTTTTTAAGTTTAGAAAGACACTTAGATGCCACCCCCCCCAATGGAGAACTGCTATTTTAGTGTTTAAAACTCACCTTTCCACACATTAACTCAATATGTCAATCTTTATAACAACTTATTCACCTATCCTCTTTGATCCTCAACAGGAAAATTTTCCAGTGCTGTTCTCTAGCTAGCTTACCTTGCATTCACAATGTTCCCAGCATTCAACTCTACCATTTCTTCAAAACCAATTGCGAATATGTCAGTTGGCTTACTTCTTTTATCTACAATTAAGCATCCAAGAAATACCTTTAAATATAGCCTTAGTCAAATGCCAACCTCATCCAATATAACAGAACATCAGATCACACAGAAACCTTATGTTTTGAGTCTAACCAAATTCATACTAAAAGTAAAAATACACAAGTAAGATAATAAATACCTGACGAAGCAGAATTTTTGCCTTTTATTTATAGTCAGGAAATTGAAGCTTTAAAGAATCTGAATATATAGTTAATTTTACAGATTTATGTTTTATTTTAGGTACATGAGTGTCTTGCATGTATATGAGTGTACCACATGTATGCAATTTTCCCATGGAGGACGGAAGAGAGCACTGGATCCCCTAGAGTTACAAATAGTTGTTGGCTACCATGTGGGTACTGGGAACTGAACCCAGGTCCTTTACAAGAACATTAAGTGCTTTTAACCACTGAGTCATTTCTCTAGTCCTTAAGCTGTTTGAAGGTTCTTCTATGAATAGTTTGGTTCATACTCAACACCCAAGTTACTACAAGCTTTATAAGGCTGCTTATGACCCACCCTAGAAAATGGGATACACAAGGCTTGAAAAATAAGAGAAATGATCAATCATAAAATAATCTTAGTTCATGTCTATTTTTTAAAATATTTTATTTATTACTTTTATTTTATGTGTACAAGTGTATTGCCTGCATGTATGTGAGTGCACCTGTGTCGTGCAATGCTGCAGAGGTCAGAAGAGGGCTTTGGATTCCCCTGGAACTAGAGTTAAGGATGGTTTGTAGCCGCCATGTAGGTGCTGGGAATCAAACCCAGGTCCTCTGCAAGAGCAGTCAGTGCTCTTAACCGCTGAACCATCTCTCTAGTCCCAGTTCATGTCTATTTTAAAGAATAAAAACAGAACTAGTTTTTATTTTCTTTGTATGTAAGGCTGCCTTCAAAGATACCTGTTTACCTATGGATCCCTATTTCCTGAGAAACAACTAGCAAAGAAAGTTATTTTTGTTAATTTTTCCATTACTTTTTTGTTTTGTTTTTTTAAGACAATCTCTTACTCTGTAGCCCATGTTTGCCTACAACTCATCATGGCCTTGAACTTACAACAATCCTCCTGCCTCAGCCTCTTAAGTGCTGGATTACAGGGGTGAGCCATCATACCTAGCTTCACTATTGTTTTTCTACTAAGTAGAAAATATCTAGAAATAAAGTGAAGTAATACTTTAATTGACTTAATCTATGAAAATGTTGGCTTTCAAGCTGATAAAAGAAGCCCAAGTTTCTTTCATACATGAATGAAGTGTCACCCTGCAGCCAGGATTTTAACTAAACCCGTATTATAAAAATCCAACCTTGGAACTCCTGGATGCCAGCTAACTTGGGTGCGTCGAGCAGCCAGTCAGTGAGTGTTTGGTTCTTAAAGGCTATGCTACGGAACTGCTTCCCACCATTCACATTCCAGGTTCCAACACACACTCTAATTTTCTTGGGTTTTGAATATTTGTAAAAGTTCTCACACATGTTCTTTAGTACTTTTGAAGATGCTAATAAAAAAATGAGACACAAAAGAACTTCAGCTGCACTAAACCATTTGTAAAAATTGGTTTTCAGAACAGAGATGCTATTTGGAAAAAACAATTATCAACACAAGCACAAATAAAATACATGCACAGGCACAAGAAAAAAATCAGCTTTGAATGCAAAGCCCAGCCGGAGGCAATTAACCAACATTTAAAAGAATTAATGAAATTAAACATCAAATATAAGAAAGCTGTCACAGAATTACTGCAGTAACAAAGCATGCAGATAGAGCAGTTCTGTCTCAATGGTACAATAGTTTATAATATAGGCAACCTAAAAACCATAGTTTTTAGGAATGTAGCAACTGACTTTCAGACAACTTGAGGCTGGTAAAAATATAAACTTTATTTCTTCCCAAACAAAAACACTTAAGAACATTTGCATTTCAGATCCTAATTGCTGACAGGTGGCTGGATGAATAATGGCTCCTTAACAAAAATGCCTAGTGGAGATAATGAGATGTTAAAATGAAATCATCGCCAAAGTCTTCCCATCTCATTCAGAGTAGAGGCTAAAGTGCTTATGAATGCTCTGCAGGGCCTTAGGTCACTGATCTTGTCTTTCTGCCTTCATCTTCTTCCTTCTCTGTTTACTCACTTCTCAGACACTGGCCTCCCTGGAGTTTCAAAGATACCAGGCCTGCTCCAGTCAGTGTTTATACCCAGCCTCCCAGTCTGCAATGCACTTCCCTTGCCTTCTTTAGGTCTTCTCAAGAGGCCTTCTCTCACTGCACTCTGCCCCAACCTTCTACTGCCCCCTCCTTATTCTCTCTATAGCATTTACCGTATAAAAAGCAAAACTTGTGTGTGCCAACATGTTCAGTAAGTTTAGGATTTTTGAAGCACTTCAAATGTCAGACTATAAGATTAGTGATGTTAAATTGGTAAAAACCTATATGAATATTTCAAAACATAAAACAACTATGAAATCTGAATCACTTCCAATTCCACATATTTTACTTGTTTATCTGCAACTACATCCCTTCATGAGAATAGTTCTCAGAGTGTAGAAATGTTGGTCTGGTTTTTTTACTCCAATATCTCTAGTAACAAAGAGTGCCTGATACATGTAAATGTTCAGTAATCATTAAATGAATGTTCAATACCTTTTGAATTATCAATCTCTCTTAATTATTTTTTTATCTACCACCTATATTTTCTCCTTCTAAACCATACTTTATTTTGATTAAATTTTGGGCACTTAAAAACAATAGAACCTTCATAGGACCTGAGCCTAAAAACATCTAATTTGTACTTAATTGATAATTAACTGATTAAAAAAAGGGGAAATTAAAATCACTTTGATTTTGAAAAAAACCTTTGCTTTTTTTTGAAACATATCTTATTTTTGCTGTATTAGTTATTTTATGACAACCCAAACCAGTAATCTCCTGAGCCATTGGGAGTGGAAAGGTTTATAACTCATTACTATTACAAATACAGTTTTGACCTCTGGGCCCCTTGAAGGAACAGCTAACCATATCACCATCCTCTCAAGAGCAGATACGTACACTTCCAAACCTTTTCCTCTCTGATTATTTATTCTATCTCCTATTCTCCTAAAAAAATTAACCAGCAGCTTCTCGAAAGATTCGGAACAGACACTAGGCAAAATAAATCCTAAGAAGGGGAAGTGAAGGTGTCATTTTCAGTTAAATTTCTGGGAAGAGTTTTTGCTTTTGTTCTGTTTGCTACAGATTCACCTTTAAAGACAAAACCATAAACCTTATGCAGAAAATGAAGAAATTACTGTGACTAGGCATGAAAATAATGACCGTATTATGTAATATACAGGCACCTATTCTGACTTAGAAAGCAAAACTGTTGCTGTTTAAAGATTTCAGATCCTACTTTAATGCAAGTTTGTAGTTAAAGAAAACATGTCATCCACCAAGGAAGAATGAGTCAATGCCTTTTAATTAATCGTATATGCAAAACACTGTTGAGTGGTCAGAATGACATGGACATACTCTGAATTAATGTAAAATAATCATATTTGACTTTTTTTTCCTATAGTCTATTAAGCGTAAGGTATAACACTAATAATGTTCATTCAAAGAAATATAAACATGAAATCTGGGGTGGAGTGTTGGTGAAGCCATTAAAGGCTCAGGCTCACAACTAAAAAGACAAAAAGTGAAATTAACCTAGCTGAATTGTCTTGCACTGGAATTAAGCCTGTGATGTTGGAAGACAAAGAAGGCTGTATTTCTTTCTGAACAAAGTATTTAATTTACGCAAACTTAAGACTATTTATATTAAAACAAAATGTTAATTTATCCTGTAATAGTATAAGGACAAAATCCCATCTGTTTGTGAGCAACATCAGCTTTAGAAAAATAAAGAAAAGGTTGCTTTTATTTATACATTGATTTTCTATACTGTACCTGACTGTAATGTCTGTTCAGAAACTATGGATGCATCAAGAAGAAAACAAAGAATCATTAGTAAAACAACAAGTTACATTTCAAATTTAGAGTGTTATGATAAAATCCTGAGACGGCCTTACTCATTTCTTTCAAGCTGATGACTTGATTTTTCTTTCTAAAGCCGTATGACACCAAAGACAATAAATGGCAATAGCTGATACAAACCCTGTTTGTCTAAGGAAGCCCTGTGCCGGCTCAGTGATGTCCACTGCTTCAGTCTGAAGGTCCTGCTCCTCCATCTGCTTGTGTGTGCATATGTACATGTGTTTATGTGTGTGAAAATATGAATATGAAAATCTAAGCAGCTGAAGGACACTGACATGTAAAGATTTGCCCTAATATTTTAGTATTCTTTTTCCTAGGATTCACTAGTTGATATGTACCATCAGTTTAGCTATAAGACAGTTAATTAAAAACCATTAATTACTACACTATATAAAATGTACAAATTCCCATGGCCATAAAGGTTTATAGGAAAAATGTGACTGGGGGCATCACACTAAAAAACCTTGAAAAGTAACACACCAAAGGAGACACCTAAGGAAAAGATAACAGTATTATGTATGTTAAATGGTCATGAAATACATGAAAATACAATAACGCATTTTATTTTTAAAAAATAAGAAGTTGGCTTGTAGAACTAGGCATCAGAAGGGCACAGCAATTGTGAATGGTGGAAGAAGGCTTATCAGAAAATGGATGGGAAATTGAAACAACAGATGGGGTGGGTATGGCCCAAAAGATATGGTGAACCGGGGAAGGGAAGATGTCTAAGATGTGTGCATATAGGTATGCACGTTTTATATATTTGTACCTATATTGATTCTGTTGGGCAGTTTTCAGAATTTACTTAATGTTGATTGCCAGCAAGCTCACACATAAGCTCATGCAAAATTGGCATTATGCTCAAATCATTCCCTAATATATCATCCATAATGGAACAAATCCTCAAGTCTCAAAACAAGCATTATAGCAGAACTGACTGTACTTTTTAAAGGCATATTTTACACACAGTAAGATGTGCAGGAAACTAAAAGCCTGATGTTTAGGTTTGGGAATTAGGTGTTTTGCTACTCTTCTTTCCTTCACACTTACTTTCAATTGTTGCTTATTAATGCCTCCACATCAAAGTAGGCAGAGGTGTAAAGAGGTAACAAAACAGAAAGCAGTCAGTCTCTTATTTTTTTGGAAGCCAAGAAGCTGAAAGTAGTATCTGCTATCAAACCTTTTAGGAATTTTTTAGGCCCAGTTCCCAAGCCTACTTATAGATTCCTGAGAAGCTCCTGTACCTATCTACCTTCTCAGCATCAGGAGGAATTCAAAATGTCTATGATCACCTATGATCAATTACTCAAGAGGGTATTACTTGATGGAACACTTTCCTGCTATTTGAACAGAAACACTGGAAGTTTTGGTTTGGAGATAACAGAAAAAGTTCACAGTGCTATAAAGTTCTACTGAAAAAAAGAGTGGAACTAAAGAAATCTAATTTAATTATCAATTATACCTCAATAAAGCTGAGAGGGAAAAAAGAAAGTCTAATCTATTGTATGTACAATGAACATTGAGTTTCCCCATATTATTGCTTGTATGTGCTCACTAACACGAAAAGTTCAAATTCTTAAGACTTTAGTAAAAGGCATACAATGAATGATAAAAGTTACCTTGAAAAAAAAAGCTACCATGAAAACTATCTATTTTGTCAAAAATTAAAATGGATAATAGTAGTTAGTGGCCAAAAAGTATTGCTTTAAATTATTATTATGATTTAAGCTAACTCAAACAATTAACAATAAAGAATTAGGACCCAGTTACAGAAATGTTTGGAGTGTTCATGAAAAACTAACCAATATAGGTACAGGTTGTGTTTTTTTTTTTTAAAATAACTCATTTTCTATATAATTAGATTACTGAATACTCTAAGTGCAAACTAAATAGACTATGAAATCCTACCCTGTATACAGTTAGCAATACTTTGAATATATACCCCTTCAATCAAAGTCAATAGAAGAGAGTACACATAACCTATTGAACAAAATAGCCAGTTTATGGCTAAATACC